TGTATTTTTGGAAGGCTTGAGTTTTAAAGGAAAAATCAAGTTACTGTTCATTACCTCAGTACCAGAGAATTGATTTGGATTTCTGTGAAACTAAGCCATATTGGCTGCAAACAGGAATTTGTTCTTGGAAGGATAACAACAGCCAGCCTGTTGCCCTTGTTTACACTGTAAAAGGTACATAGGAAAAGAGGGAAAGGCATCCAGCGTGCACTCTGTGTAATTAAAACATGAAAAGTACTGCTGGTTTGGCCTTCTTTCTAAACAAATGTTAGGGCAAATATTCAAAACTAAGGAGAGCCAAGCCGAGGTTGCAAAAATCTTTGCTGTCAAAAATCTCTGTGTGAATTAAGATGACTGAGTTTTGGCAATTTTGTTTTGCCCTTTCTGACCAAAAGAATTCAGCCTTTTGTGCTTTTATCTATGTCTGTATTCAGGCCCTCAGTGACTTAAGTGATGCATTTTTCAGAAGTGCTTAAAATCTACATGAATTTCAGCCTGATTCTCAAAGGCTGATAGTTTCTTTGCACATTTGGGGTGGTGGTTGGGTGCTCGAGACTAATGGCGTCAATATCTTGAAATATGCCTTCTCCGGCTATCTCCTGCTGCCATAGTACTCACAATATACTCTGAAAATTGCATCAGGCAAAGAATGAACATACAAATACACAAATTAATTGGCAGAACGTTTTGTTTGATATTATCCCTGAGAAAAGACGAAAAGAAAGCTGGTGAGTCAGAGGAGGACACAAATCCTAGGAACTTAATGCATCCAGATAAGGGCATGTAGGGATGGTGAAAAATGTTTGCAAAAGCAGCTGAAGAAAGTTTGCTGCCAGGCTGTCTTGACGTGTAAGCCGTCTCTTGGATCTGTGCTTTGGAGGATAGATTTACCAAGGACGTTCTATTTGTTGCCATTGCCTTGTAGCCATTTTGAAATTCAACTCAAGAATGTATGTCTTAAGAGCTAACTTGGTGTGGGGGGGTATGTACATATATATATATATTCATGTGCATATTTTAAAGTGTGTATATGTAGAGAAAGAAAGATATTGTAAAGAGGGGGTGGAAATAGAGCATCTGCAGGAAGAATTACATTTCCTTGTGCACCTCTTCTTTTTTTGTCCCAATTTAAAATAGTCCGGAAAGAGAAAGAGAGATGTTTTCTAAAGACATTTGAAGACATTTTGACTGATACTCATTTTCATAGTTATATTTTTAAACTGACTACTTCCTTGCTTAAATACATATTTGTAAATATAAATAAAGAGAAGAGAATCTATTTTTTAGGCAAGTTGCCTTGACCGGGTCTTGGATGACACTTCCACACCCACTGTGCAAAGCTGGCGCATAAGCGGAGATCTGGGAGGTTGTTAGGGAGTCTGCCTCTCCTGTTAAAAGCTACCAGGGATCCCCAGGCCATTGCTGAAATATTTGCATACCTTGCTCTTAAATGAAATTCTTTAGCTTCCCTACATGACCTGTTCCAGTGTTGAACTGTCATTGTTGGAGGGTGGAGAGAGGAGAGTTGTACAATCGTTTTGTCTAAGCTAGGCCTGTTGTTCTTCAAGTTGTTGTCTACTTACCATCCTCAATGGACATAGAGAACCATTGAATGTCAGCTACTTTCTGATGTTTTATGTTTGATTCACCTCTCTATCTTCATTCTCCTCATTTCCTGACCAAATAAAGAAGGTATTTTTGTGTGTGTGTGTGTGAGACATAGCTTGTCACAAAAGCTATGCTTTTAAAACCATCTGACAGTTTTCTTGTTCTAAAACTTTCCAATTTGCCCTCTTTTTCTTGAAGTCAGTGGTAAAACTGGATTCAGTGTCCAACAGCAAGGAATAAAGGAAAACAGTGAAATTTCATGTCTTATGCTAATATGTCCCAGAGTTATATTTCTTTTTCTCTTGAAATAATGGTGTTATTGTCCAAGTTTTAATCTCACAGATTCTTGAGAGATGCTTAATATGTTAGTGCTGATTTTCCTTTTGCATTGCTGTCATGCTTTGAACATTTTTCCTGAGTTTCATCATCATTAGACCACCTCTAGACTAATTACAAAGATTATTGTAAATGACAGTTGTTACCTGCAAACGAGTTGCAAGCTCTGCAAGTTCAGTGTCAGCCAATTTGAGAAATGTGGTTTTTTATTTCACTATTCCAGTTGTTAAGGTTGAAATACTAAATACTGAACTTAGTATACATAGACCTTTGAAAGACCTCATTGGTCTATATTCATCTGGTTTGATAGGAAAAAAAATCATTGCTACTCTCTGAATAGCTTTTTTTCAGACAGTTATGCAGCCATATAATAGAAATTTCAGCCAGATTCTGTTTTCCTGATTTACTAGGGAACTTACTGCAGCTCCTGAAGGCTTACTCAGAAGCCATAAGTGAAGTGTATCAAAGCTACTTCTTTTTGCCTATCTGTATGCCCTTCAACCTGACAGAGAGAGAAATTAGTGAGGTTTGATAGGTTTCAATTTTCATTTCCTTATTATGCTACGTGGTTTTGAAATGGACTTGTAATATTGTTCTCTTGTGTTTAGTAGGGACATTGAACTTACTTACTGGCTTGTAATTCTCTTGGTACTCCTTCCCCTTTTAAAAATGGGTGTGTTTGCTTAGGGGTTTTTGTTTTCAGAGATAACTGATAATGCTTCAGAAAATGCTTTCATTTATTACTGAAATCGACTCCAGAGCACTTAGCCCATCCCCCTCTCTTCATGTACTGTTGTGACTTTCTTGGGTAAACTGTACCTTTTACCTTTACAGCCTATTGAGTGCTAGGCATCAGCAGGCCTTTTTCCGCTAAGACTTTTTTTATCACTCAAGTATGAAATTTGTAAGAATGTGAAATGAAAACTGTATTTTGTAATGTATCACTTGGAATTTTCAAGGTAGGATGCAGGTCTCCATTAAAAGCTGGTACAGGGCTTCTTCAAGGTGAAGCCAAATTTGAAATTTGCTGCCTTGAAGTTGGCTGGATTTTTTGGGGGGTGTGTGTCCTTATCCAAAAAGTGACAAAATTTGGTTCCGTGGCAGTGCTGGGCTGGGTGGGGTAAGAGGCTGGAAGGTGAAGGGAAAGACTGTGAGGAGAAAGACAGATGCCACCTTTCCACTAGCCTTCCAGCAGTTGGTCCAGCCTCCCTGAGGGATGTTACCTCCTGATCCCCTTTTCCCTCCTTCTCTGGTCCATTTTCCTTCCGTATCTTCCTTTACATGTACTCTCCCCAAATTTCTTGACTTATTGAAGCATCTCTTTCTTGAAGAGACCTTACCCCTTCCTCTTGGCATTCTCTTGCCTCCCTGTAGATGGGATAATTTTCCTGACTTCTTCCCCAAAACAGAGTGGAGGAGACTTTGTTACTTGTGACTGAGAACATCCCCAGCCAAATGCTGAGGGAATTATTCTGCTTGGTGACTGAGAAGATCTCCAGCTAACAGCTGAATACTTCTAGGGTGAGGGATGTTGTTTTCTGGCTCTGTGCCATTAAGCTGTGATTTAATGTGAAAACGCAGTTCTTTTTCAGAAGATCTTCACCATTTTCCCATTTTAAATTTACTTTCAGTAACAGAATATGAAATGTTTATGGAATTTAGGCAGAAATGTTTCCAATTATTGACTTCTCCATCTAGTCACTTAATTCCTTTTTGGCTTTGGACGGCATATGTGTATTGTTTCATTTTAACTAATGCTAAAAATTAGCATTGAAAACACTTGCTGAAGAACAGATTTTCTCTAACCATGTTATAGAAACATAGTACCAAACAATATCCAACAAAAGTTCTTATTTCTGTATGATTCTTGTTTAACATTTTGGTGCTGGTAATGGAATTATTAAGTTGTGTATTGGAAAGAAGTTTACCCCTTACATGCTGGTCTGATTTTTTCTATGTGTGTCATCTGTGAGTTTGGCAACTTACCTGATCGATTCCATATTTTGCATAAGTCATTCCTATGTAATGGGCTGATCCCTATTTAGTTGATGAAGTTTAAAAAAAAACAACCCAAACTACTATTGAATCAGTATCAGTGTTTTAAACGACAATGTGTGACTTCACTGGAGAGATGGGGTGTGCTACAAGTTTCAAATACAGATAGCAATGTTGAGTTCTTCACAACTGTGTAAGAACAGCTGATCTCCAGTAGAAATGACCACTGTTAGGAATTTCCAGCAATAGAGCCACCATAACATTACTGAAAGTGTGAAATATTAGCGCAGACTGGAAAAAAAAAATTCCCGTGCCATTTCAGGAAATGGGAGTGAGGCATCCTGAAAGTGCAATCATAACTTGTAGACTGGTATGAGGAACAGCTTAGCTCTGTGAATGCAAACTGCTAAATGGTTGCTATTCCACTGTGAAACCCTGCTGCTGAAAACTGCTTTACAGGGATGATTTTTCTTTTTGCCAGTGTAACCTAGACTCTGTGAACGGCTCTTCTTTCAGAAACAACATTTACATGTTGCCTTCTGGGTAGGTGTTCACAGAGATACGAAGAATAAAAATGAATTATGTATTGTGTTTTGAAAAGCTGTAACAAGGAATTAGTTACTAAATAATATAGAAAATTAATAATTGACTGCCTTGTCTTACATCCTTCTGAGCTTTATCCATCTGGTACTTCATAGGAAGATAGTTTATCTTCCATCCCCGCTTATCTAGTCATGCTTTCTCTTTCATGTTTCCTCTCGCTTTGCTTTATTGCCATTGCTCATCAGTTTCCTCTTTGAGTCTATGGTGTTTACAGCCACCACTACACAATCCTGAGCCCTATTTTAACTCATGCACAAATAGAGTTTCAACTTTGTCATTAAACTAACCATTTAAATCAGTGATGTGAGTTAGAAGGGACAGCATAGTAAGTAACATGCCAGACCTTTAATTTCAAAGACGCAATGTCATTTTCTTCAGTAATAGCAGTGATTCCAGATAAATTCCTAAATACCAATGATTTCAGGAAAGCTCATGAATTTTGCTGTACTGTTTTGCAGGGGATTTCCCAAGAAAACAGGCAGAACTGCTAGGATAGCATCAGATGAAGAGATTCAAGGGTCAAAAGATGCTGTAATTCAGGATCTGGAAAGAAAACTTCGCTTCAAGGAAGACCTTTTGAACAATGGGCAACCGGTACAAAAACATAAAATACCCCCAGGGAATGGGAGTGGGCATCACGGGTAGTTTCTCAGATGTGCTGCATATAAAATAGTTGTTGTAGATTACTTTTATATTTTATGTATTTATGATTTTTAACTGCATTTCCAAAGCTACATTTCCATAAGGCATGATAGTATATGTTTTGGCCTATCATTCCTTCTCCTGTTGGACAATTTTACTTGGACTTAATAAAGCAATTGATGTCTCAAAGATGATGAATTCGCATAAGAAACCTGCACAGTCTGTACCTCAAGGGCTTTTTCAGCCTTAGAAGCCATTTGCTTTTGACTGTTCATCACTGGGTGGCTTGCCAGTAAGCATATGCATAGCTCTTGATCAGTCCAGGCTCATTCTACCTTTTGTCCAGCTGTTTTA